TGGGTCCTGCTGGCTACAGGCTCAACTACTTCCTCCTGTCTTCTACTAGGTTCTAGAACAGTGTTTTCTCAACCTTTTTCAGTCAAGGCACCCTTTAAATTTATGGACAGTCCCGAGGCACCCTTTAAAATCATGGACAGTCCCAAGGCACCCCATTCTAAAATGTGAAAAACTATTCTAAGTTTTATATAACGCAGCAACATCCACAACATTAGAGGTGATTTATTCTGCCAAAGCAAATACACTTCTGCACACTGGTACTGACTAGTATTCCATTGTTTCTCTTCTCCCTCAATTTTTCTCCATCACTGAGCTAATGTGACCCCAGCACTGATGGAGAGGGGCGGGGGAGGGTCAAACTAGGATGCTGTGCAGGCAGCTGACATCCTACTTATCAACTGATGATGTCATTGGTTGTCAGGACGGCGGCGGCTAGAAGGTCGTAATGGTGCACAATGAGAACCTGTGGCTTTGTGTAGCTAAAAGGCAGTATTTTTACAATTAGACATTTTGCCAAGGCACTCCTGAAGAAACCTCAAGGCACCCCTGGGCACCCTGGTTGAGAAAAGCTGTTCTAGAATATAGTGGTTTTAAAGAGGCAGACCCTGTGCTGAATATTCATACAGCCTCAATCTATGGTCAAGGGGATGACCAGCAGAGGGCTTACATGTGTCTAGGGCCTGGAACAGCAGGTTTCTTATGCAGGAGGAGAATACCCTGCCTGAGGGGCTGTTGAGCTTCGGAGCAGATTAGATGAAGACTTCAGGAGTTTCATCAAGGTCCTAGCTCAGGGAGACCTGGAGAAGGGGGGGGGTGTCTATCTCTAAATCTGCTAAGAACAGATTGGAGAAAGTCTGCTGAGGAAGTGGCTTGGAGGCTCACAGTACAGGATCTGGCTGGTACTGAAAAGAGGCATCCAAATACACAGTAAGTAAGGGCTTGAGAGAGAGAGAGATCCTGGTGACTGTTGTTGCTTAACCCTGGTGCAGATTGTTCCAGAGATGCTGGCATAAGGCTGCTTCCATAATGGGAGTCCCCTGAGCTGTATGTCCATTATCACTTATCACAAGAGGTCCATCCTGAACAGTTTAGATATTACCAGAGAATGTCCTCTGTTACAGTTTGCACTAAATTTGGAGCACCCCAAGGCTCACCCTACACTCCAACAAAGTTTAACCAGCATTAAACTTTAAAAAGACACTTGCTGTCTGGTTACTGTGTTGAGAGACAGGGAAACTACTGTGTGCCTGGCTGACGTGCAGCCAATAGAGAATAGAACCTGGGACACAATGGTAGGACCAGCTTGGGGTTTGTGCTACACATGTTGAAACTTTACTGTACTCAGCATTGGTCATCAGCAGAATTATATAAATACTAGTAATAATTTGTTAGAACAGGGGCCTGTTTGCCTTAGTGAGTGCTGTGACCCCTGTTCTTACTAGATTCTTGGTTTTAAAGTAATGACAACCAACCTAGTAGCAGTTTGTAGTAGAAATAAGATGCTCACCATATATAACAGGGGTCTCCAAACATTCTAAACAAAGGACCAGCTTGCTGTCCTTCAGACTTTAGGGGGGCTGGACTGTGGCCATTCGGAGTAGAAAAGTTCCTGATGTCAGTGGGAATAAACCATGCCCCTTCTTTGGTTTTAGCGGGAGCAATGGCACCCCATTGTTGGTGTCATTGTGAGGAATTGTGCTCCATCATCAGTGTCATTAGGCCTGTTAAATGGTGTCATTGTGAGGAATTGTGCCCCATAATTGATGTCCCATTGGTGGTATCAGTGGATAAAACAGTACCCAAGGGCCAGATAAAAGCAAGCAAAGGCCACATCCGGCCCTCGGGCCACAGTTTGGAGAACACTGATATATAAACTGTGGCTCCTCAGTTCATACAGCACTATTCCATGTAGCAGGGGGAGCAGGCATTATACATACCTGGTAGTATCAAATACCTGTAGCAGCTGGGAAACAGCAAAGTCATGGGCCGCCTGAAGGATAAGTCTATAGCATCTGCTTTTACAGGTGTGTTTTATTTTAGTATCTAAAAAACAAATGGCAACCACCCCAACCTATCTTTGGCCTTTGCAGCAAGGAGCACATGGAAGGGTGCTGCATGTCAAAAGAACAAGAAACACAAATTCCCAGCTCATTTACCAGCCAGCCTGCAAGAAACCAAACTGACCCTGTCTAACAGTTCATGTTAAAGCAAGAGGTTTAGTTTGCACACATTTGCAAATATATGTGTAAGGTGCAGAGGCCACATCACGGCACCCCAGTGTACTGCTGCCATAACTCAACTTGATAAATGTTGAGAGGTTCCAAAGATGGAGCACATATATAATAATGGATAGATTAAGGGCAGGCATGTCTGGAGGGAGTCCTCCCCTCCTTAAAGGTATAGGGATGCACTGGACACCCAGCAAGAGCACAATGGCAGTGACGGTATCCAGTGTGTCCCCTCACCAATTCACCAACAGTACACACAAATGGAAACCACCCCAACCTATAATTGGCTTTTGCAGCAAGGAGAACATGGACACATGTCAAAAAACAACAAACAAAAATTCCCAGCTCACTTACCAACCAGCCTGCAACAAACTAAATTGACCCTAACAGTTCACATTAAAACAAGGGATTCGTTTGCACACAAATGCGTAAGCTGCAGAGGCCACGTCAGGCTGGCTGGTAAGTGAGCTGGGAATTTTTGTTTGTTGTTTTTTGACATGCACTGCCCTTCCGTGTTTTGTTAGTTTATTATCAACCCTGTAGTGATAAGGTAAACAATAATTGTGTTTTTGATGCGTTTTTGAAGCATTCCAGTGCATTTATTATGCATTCCAGTTCATTTTTTCCCCTCTTTTTTCTTCAATTTAAATATGGACATGTGCATTCCAGTGTGTTTTTTGATGCATTTTGATTCATTCCAGTGCATTCTGATGTGTTTTTGATGCATTTTACCGCATTCCAGTACAGTTATGTGCAGAAAAAATTTAGCATGTTCTACTTTTGTTCCTGCAACCAGAACATACTGGAACTGCAAACACTGATGTGAACTATGATATTGACAACCATATAACCTACTTACTGTGCATTTTGGATGCAGAAAAAAAGCAACTGAAACACATGTAGTGTGAACTTGTCCTTACAGATTAAGATAGGTTAATGCCATGAGACTGCAGTGGGTGGATTCAAAGCTTCAAATAGCCATACAAAGGGATCCTTGATGGGTAATTTATCTTAGATTTTACAGATAAATGTTCCTAAAAATTGACAAGAAGAAGATTTTTTTTTAAAATCTTATATAATATTGTACAAGCTGGAAAGTCACATAGGACCTTTCAAAAAGATGTAATGACAACAACAAAAATCAGCCTGACAGTCCATCAGATATCATTTTATTCATGTGAGGCTATTAGGATCCGAGCTATATTTTATTGACATGCTGTATGACATAGGTCAAGCCTTTACCCTGGCATCGCCTTCTGTGTAGTCTGTGTGTTAGCACGAAAAGTAGAAAACATTATTTCACTTTGGCGAGTTTTCCAATCAATTTCTCCCATTTAGCATGAAAAGTGTGAGGATGTCTGATGACCTGAATATTGCTGATATGCTAATAACATTTGGCCGCTAAGGCTTTTAATCATGCAACTTGTGATAAGGAAAGTTCTAGAATTCTTCTCAGCATCACAAGAACTACAGGGCATGATGACATTTAGAAAATGTAAAATCTTCTACTTAGTTCTGCAGCAGTGTCCATTTACCCACCATGTTCAGATGCAAGCACAGTCCCCTTGAACTCCCTTTCCCACAACTACCTGAGTTTTTGGACATGCCCTGTCCCGACACGTCCCATCAGCTTCCCTCCATCCAGAGCTGAGAGAGTGCAGTGCAGTGGAATAACGTCCTTACAGGATGTCTTCAATTTACAAGCCGACCTCAATGCACTGTGTAATTGGGCAACTATGTGGCAAATGAGGTTTAATGTTGATAAATGTAAGGTTCTGCACTTGGGGGGCTAAGAATATGCATGCATCATACATACTAGGGGGGTACAACTGGGGGGGGGGGGTCAATGGTGGAGAAGGATCTGGGAGTTCTGGTAGATCACAAGCTTAACAATGGCAAGCTGTGGTTTCTAAAGGGAGCAAAATCCTCTCCTGTATTAAAAGAGGTATAGACTCCAGAGAGAGAGATATCATATTACCCCGGTACAAATCATTAGTAACACCTCATCTGGAATATGCAGTTCAGTTTTGGACACCAATTCACAAAAAGAACATTGGGGAACTGGAGAAAGTACAGAGAAGGGCAACCAAACTGATAAGAGGCATGAAGGAGCTCAGCTATGAGGAAAGATCAGAGGAACTGAATTTATTCTCTCTTGAGAAGAGGAGATTAAGGGGGATATGATCAACATGTATAAATACATCAGTGGGTCATATAGTGAATTTGGTATAGCGTTATTCACTTTAAGGTCATCACAGAGGACAAGGGGGCACTCTTTACTTCTGTAAGAAAAAAGATTTAATCTCCAAATACGGAAAGGATTTTTCACAGTAAGAACACTGAAAATGTGGAATAGACTCCCTCAGGAGCTGGTTCTGGCCAGTTCATTAGATTGCTTTAACCACTTGACAACCGGCTGTAGCTGAATAATGGCTACAGTGCGGTTGTCCAGTTCTGGGAGGGCATCATATGATGTCTTTCCAGAACGTGCCCCCCACGCGCCCCCAGTGATGCACACCCAGTGCTGTCTGTGGTTGCCGTGTCCTATGGACACAGCTGATCATATGGCAAAGTTAAAGGCCAATCACAGTGGCCTTTTACCATGTGATCAGCTGTGTCCAATGACACAGTTGAACACAAAGTAAATACAATTGCCAGTTATCTGCAGCACTTTCCTCATGCTGTCACAGCGTGAGGAAAGTACTGATGATAACGGCAAGTGTCACAGAGGAAATCTGCACTGATTATCAGTGCAGCCCCAAAAGTGCCCAGCAGGGCCACCCATCAGTGCCCACCAGTGCCACCCATCAGTGCCACCAGTAAGTGCCATCAGTCAGTGCTGCCAATCAGTGCCATCAGTCAGTGTCGCTAGTCAATGCCCATGGACTTTTTCAGCTATATAGCAAAAAAAAATAAAAATCCCAATGGTAAATAAATACCAGCAAAATAAATCTTTATCTGTCTCAAAAAAATGCTGAAAAATTCATATGGGTACAGTGTTGCATGACCGTGCAATTGTCATTCAAAGTGTGATAGCACTGAAAGCTGAAAATTGGCCTGGACAGGAAGAGGGTAAAAGTGTCTGGACTTGAAGTGGTTAAGTCAATCGTTTTGTTTCATTGCATTTGTTATGTTAAAATGATTTGTTTTCAGATTTAATTTCGTATATTTGGATTTGTTTAATATATTTGTGGTTCCAAATCAATTAATATTTTTGGAAGTTATTTCAGAAGATTCGGATTCATTCATTATGTCTTTATGTTAGTTCAACGACTTGCTCACGACTTTGATGCGACTTGCCTGTAATTTCAGTGCAACTTTATTGAGACTTTGATGTGTTGCTTGACTTTGGCCAGTCATACAAATGCAAAATGTGACACACATATTACTGAACTTACAAAATCCTCTGAAGTCACAAATGAATGAATATGAATTACTTAGTTGTCTTGGTTATAATTTATTTTGGACTTGTTGAAATTAGTTACTATCGTGATCGTACGAATGCATGTCTAGTCCAAAGGTCTTCCACTGCGATAGGCAAAGATATCATGTCTATGGATTAGCTTTAACCTCCTCGGCAGTATGATTCTTTCAGATTTTTTGTGCTGAAAGCGGTACCATTTTTTTTGCATGGAAATATGTAGTTTTTTATTGTAGGCTGTAATTTTTCGGAATAACTCACTGAAATCTGTCCGAACAAGAGTCTAGTAAACATTCCGGATATGATAAAATTTGAAACACGAAATCATAAATTGTAATTTAATAAATAATCATAAAAAATAATAATATAATAATAAATTTAATTCAATAATATAATCAAACCAAAAACACTGAAATTTGAAATACAGAGGCAAATTCGCACATCGCTGAGCAAAGTCGCAAAATCGTTTTCAGTGTCTGATGATGAATTTCCCCACGAATCATTATCACTCAATTCTGCAAATGGTTCTGATTTACTATCGCTGTTCTAAAACCGCTTTTGACGTAAAGGGACGCTTTTTGGACTCCATGGACTTTTCTAAGTTTTCAGGCAGAAAGAACATTCAAAATGCAGGCAGGGCACAGGACAAAGCAGTAGGGACAAAATATATGTGAAATGCATTGAAACAGCAATGACAGCAAAAATGAAATTTTTTAAAAATTTCAAATTTCCCGCCGGTTCCGGCTCCCGTACGTCCCGACGTCACAGGGACCGGAACACGGAAGCCGGATGCCGGCATCGGCCGGAGGAGATGGCCGGGGACGCTGCAGGGGACACATCGCGGGAGCGAAGGACAAGGTAAGTGCTGCAGGGACCCCCTGAGCAACGCCGCATGGTAAGCCCGAGTGTAGCTCGGGGTTACCGCTCTTGGTATAGAAATTTTACCCCGAGCTACACTCGGGATTACCGCTAAGGAGGTTAAGCTGGGAACACACTAGTAGATTTTCTTTTGATAATTTTAGGTTTTGGAAAGTTTGTTTAATTTTTTTAATGTTTAGTGGGCTCAAATCAATGATCATTTTGGACCGTATTGATGAAAAAAGATGCTGAATGTGGTTTCCACATGTACATATTGTAATGCATATGTTCTAGGCATAAAAGCAACCTGTTTAACATGTCTGGAATTCCATTCAAATAGCAGGTCTGGATGATATTTTAACGGCTTTTGAACAAAATTAACTGACTCAACGATTGCAAGAAGGAATGTTCTGGTCACTGATTTTTCAGAATTTCTGTGTGAATGTTTTAACTTAAGACATTCTTGCAAAACAGATATTTGATATAAATTGTAAATGCACAAAAATGCAGGTTTTATAAAGGTTTTATGCACCCATTTGGGGATACTTGGAAAAATGAGGATTACTGTACATAAGTATTAAAGGATTCTGAGATCAGCTTCCTGAAGTATGTGCTGACACCCAGAGATGGCAGATTGTTGCTAATTCTGGATGTCTTTGGTGGGGCAGCACAGTGGCTAAATGGTTAGCACTTCCGCCTGGCAGTCACTAGGGTTGTTGGTTCGGATCCCTGCCAACACACCACCTGCCTGGAGTTTGCATGTTGTGCCTGTGTGAGTTTCCTCCCACACTCCAAAGACATGCTGGTAGGTTAATTGGCTCCTGTCTAAATTGGCCCTAGTATGTGTTTGTATGAATGTGAGTTAGGGACTTTAGATTGTACACCCCTTGAGGGTTAGAGACTGATGTGAATATACAGTATATATGTAAAGCGCTCTGTAAATTGATGGTGCTATATAAGTACCTGAAATAAATAAATAAATCTCAGGTATGCAACCCATCCCCTGCACTGCACCTGAACTAATGAGTCAGGAATATAAAGGGATTCAATTTCCTGATCGTGAGATTAGACTTATTCCTGTTTGATAAGTTCTAATAAAGTGCAAGGGATGTGCTTTATACCTCCACAGTTCATTTAGGATACAGGATTTATCCTTTCCTGACTAAGTAATTGCTTTGACCAGATTTCTAAATTGTATGATCCCCTTCTTATCAGACAGATCTTCAAGAAAATGTCCAGCCTTTACAAACCTACCCTGAAGAAGTGACACAATGTTCAGCAACTGTTTCCTCTTCCGAGGGCTTTCCTCCAGCTCCCACTGGGTCTTCATACAGTCTTGCAGTTGGTCAATGCACTGCCTCTCTCTGTGGCTGCATACAGTCATATAATAGTTTGAGAAAAGGAGAGGAGGTGCAGGGCAGCAGCATTGACAGTAGTCTAGTCCCAGCTATCAGACAGAGCAGTACTGTGGACCATGATACTGAATTTTCACTATTACTTTAAATCGTTTACCCAGCTTGTTCTTCAATTACAGAGCTTAATTCAGCTCCAACAAAGCCCATTCCACTGTTATTGGTGTCCCAACGACTGTTGGATTGTCATGTAGCTGGTAGAGATCAAGCTGGTAGAGAGGGGGCTTTTCATGCACCTCCTGTCCAACACCCCTGGTAATAGTGATAGGAGGTGTGAGAACACAGAGGGGCACAAGGACCAATGTAGAAGGCAGCGCCAGCTGTTGGTTACAGGATCCAGATGACTGTGGATCACCAGCCAGGGAGCAGTACACGATGACACTTGACCAGTGGACAGGAGCGAAGCCAGGACCAGGGGCGGACTGACAACTCATGGGGCCCCTGTGTCCTTGCCCAAACTCAAAAAAGCCTATGAAAAAGGTACCAGGGGCATCTCCTGGGGCCCCCTACTGACCCCAGGCCCTCGGGCAGTGCCCAAGTTTCCAAATGGTCAGTCCGCCCCTGACCAGGACACAAGCCAAAACGCTGTAGAAAACTGGGCATCAAGGTACAGCAACAGCAGGCAGAGGCAGAGTCAGGATGGAAGCTGAGTCAGTTCTCAGCTGGACAGGGAGATACAGGAAGTAAGACAGATGTGGAGTCAGGGTACAAGCCAAGGTCCCAACAGGTAGGCAGGAATTCAAAGATAGATCAGAGGCAAACCAGGTCATGCACAGGAAGGCAACTATAGCAGGTCAGGGCACAGGTAAAGCAGGCATTAGCTGAAGACCACTCAGCAATCTGTTTATGTCCCAATCCAGCTAAATAGGTTGTATAGCACCCATGCCAGTGCTAATACCCGTGTTGCAGTGAGCCTTTGCTCAGAATTACGAGCATGCGCATGTGCATGAGCATGCAACAGTCTTCTTTTTCTGATGTGTTCTGGGATTTTCTTACATAGATTCAGTTCAGGGCAGGTCACCACTGGCAAGATCAGAAGAATCCAAACATTCCAGCAGCACTTTAGAAAGTTATTGCTACGTTTTCAACATTTTATTATTATTTCTCCCTCACTCCTTTCAAAGCTTACTATAATCCTTGTGTCTGGCACATTTTGTTGGCTGGAAGCTAAAAAGAGTGGGAAATTTGAGTGGAGAGTGAAAAACAGTTGTGATGTTGACTGCTGGTGATTGCGGATGGGTGTAGTTGTTTTATTTTCTTCTTTGGAGTCTTGCTAGTAGCTTTTACTTTTTTAAATAGCATTTTTTCCCTTTTCCTTTCCTTTCCTTTTTTTTCCCTTTCCTTTCCTTTTTTCCTTTCCTTTCCTTTTTTCTTTTCTTCCTTTCCTTTCGTCAGTCTGCTTATTAAGGGGAGGGGTTAATTGGTCACAGGTTCTGCAGGTACTACTATATATCTGAGCTTGACTTGCTTGCTGGACCTTTGATCAAGTGGACATTTGAGTTAACCTCCCTGGCAGTATTCCCGAGTGTAGCTCGGGGTAAAGTTTCAGCACCACAAGCAGTAACCCCGAGCTACACTCGGGAATACCTTGCAGCATTGCTCCGGGATCTGTTCTTCACTTACCTTGTCCTGCACTCCCGCAATGTCCCTCCTGCAGTGTCCCTGGCAATGTCCTCCGGCCGATGCCGGCATCTGTCTTCTGGGTTCCGGCTTGAGTGATGTTTCGTGGGGAAATTCGTCATCAGACACTGAAAACGATTTTGCGATTATGCGATTTTGATCAGTGATGTGTGAACTTGGAGCTATATTTCAAATTTAAGTGTTTTTGGTTTGATTACATTATTGAATTAAATGTATTATTATTATATTATTATTTTTTATGATTATTTAGTAAATTATAATTTATTATTTTTGTTTTCAAATTTTAACATACCCGGGATGTTTACTAGACTCTTGTTCGGACAGATTTCAGTGAGTTATTCCTAAAAATTACAGCCTACAATAAAAAAATACATATTTCCATGCAAAAAATACTGACATAATCAGACCGCTAGGGAGGCTACAAAAACCAGAGTTGAAAACAGGAGATTATAATGGGAATCGACTAACCTTTAAGTGACAACTGATATTTCCTATTAGTAATATTTAT